AAAAAAAAAAAAAAAAAAAAAAAAAAAGGGATGAGAATGATTTCTCCATCTAACACGTTTATTTTACTAATCCAGAAATGAAGGGCCAGCGCTGAGTTGCAGCAGGGACATCTGCCTTCTCAGGGCAGAGCCTTGCTTAGGAAGATTCAGAGCTCCCCCTTTCTCCCCTTTTTCTCCTCTTCCCTCCCTCCCAGAGCATCACCCCCTCCTCCACCCTCAAGCCCCTCAGTGACAGCCACAATGACATTTGTCCCCCTGCTCTCCTGGACCCTTCATTTGGCCCCTCAGGCCATTGAAGCCATTTGTCCCAGGGCTGTTGGGGACAGACAATGCTTGTTTGGGGACAGTGGGGCACAGCCACCCATTTCAATCCAAGTGTGGTTTCATCCCAGAGAAAGGTGCCTGGGTGCCAGGATTGCAGGTGTGAGGTGACTCAAAGTTGTTTCCTGGGATCCTGCAATACATACAGAGCATGGCTGGTGATGTGGTGACAGGGAGAGAGGCTTGTGGCACTTCACAGCAGCGGGAAGAATCATCTGTGAAGCATTATATGGAAACACAGGGCAGAGGACACCATTCCCAGCATACAAGGAGACACTGGAAGCCCTGGAATAAAACCCAACCCAGGCAACCAGATGTAAAAATCACTTTTCTTTGTGTCAGGCTGTCTGGAGGGACTTGTCCCTGCCTGAGAATGTCTGAAGTGGGTAGCTTATGGGATGGATTGAAAACTGGCAGCAATTCATGATAAACAGCACCTTTTGTGGCTCTGCATTTTCCAGTGGGATAATTATTTCCCTTTCCCAGCACACTGCTCGTACCCATTTCTCTTTCCACAGAACATTGTGCTTTAATGACGAGATGCAATTTTGCCTTCACACCACAGACAACGGCCCTTGAATCAGCAGAAGGGCTGGCGTGGGGACACCCCAGCAGCAGCACTGCCAGGCCAGCATGGGACACAGCCACCAGGTCACCTCGAGGCACTGAGAATCATCCACTCTCGTAGCACCACGGGTTTTGAAGAGGCCATTCCAGGGCTGCTGGTGGTAGAGGGATGCTTGGCACGGTGCAGGCTGTGTCCTGGCCTTCATCCTGATGTGTGGCTGGAGCTGGTGGGGTGTGAGGGCTGGGGGTGGCAGGGGGCTGGACCCCCACCCCACAGATAGTGGGCATGCTTGCTGCCTCCTCTTCTGCCCGAAGCAGTGCAAGCAGCTCTGTGCCAGAGTTTTACAGGAAACTATTGCTAAAAATGGTCACTGATGGCAGAAACAGATCTGTAGGGAAGAGCAGTCAGGTCCCGGCTGTGGGAAGGAGCTCAGCCTCACATCCAGCCCAGGCTGCAACCAACCGTGGCACAGAAGTCCCTTGGCTGCCTTGGTTGTGCCACTGCCATGATGCTGGTGGCAGGATCCCATCCAGGAAGGTGCTGGGGAGGCAGCAGGAGGTCCCAAGGCCATGCTGTCCCAGTGCTGGTGGTGGGGAACAACCCAGGCCAGGGCCATGCAGTCTGGTGGAATACCCCAAAGCCTCATCAGTCCAGTGCTGCTGGGCCGGAGCACCATTCAAGGAGGGTTCAAGGAGGTGAGAATGGTGGCTGAAGGCTGGTGTAGGCAAAGTTTCACCCAATGGTATCGGTGTTGCAGTGCGGCAAGGGGACCCCGTTTCTGCCAGCGGCGGAGGGTCCCTGGGGTGCGCACAGCTAGGAGCCGGGCCCCTCGGGGGGCTGGGGCGGGGGGCTCAGCTGGCTCTCGAGCAGCGCCCGCGTCCCTTCAGCCGACACCCTCCGCAGCCGCAGCCGTACCGAGCCATAGGTGCCACCGGTGCGGCGGGCGGCGCGGGCGCGGCGGCGGGCGGCGGCGGCGGCCAGCAGCNCACCGGCCCCCCCGCGCCCGCACCAGCCCCCGCACCCGCGGCCGCCGCCTCGTCCGGGCTCCGCAGCTCCGCCGCCCGCGGGGACGCCATGGAAGCGCCGCCGGCCTGCGCGGCCGAAGGTGAGCGGTCGACGCGGGACGGGATGTTCCTCTGGGTGGGAGACGGGTCACCGAACCGGGATGCCACCCCAAATCAGAGGAGAACCCCGCGACCGGGATGCTTCCCCTCCCCGGAGTCGCTTCCCCTGACCGGGCTACCAGCCCCACCCCGCAGGTCTCCGAACCGGGCTGCTCCTCCTCCTGGGGTCCCGCTTAGCCGAGCCGGGCAACCTTGGGAGCCGAGATTTCCCCCCGGACTGTCCCACTTCCCCGGAACCGACCCCCAGACCGGGCTGCTCCCCCTCCCTGAACCCTCACCTGCCTCTCCGAACCGGCTCGTCCCACCTGGCTCTCCCCCTTCCCAAACCAAGCTCCCGCCGCGCGACCCACCTTCCCGAACCCGTCTGAAACCCCCTGTGGGCACCTGTGTCCCTGTGACTCCACTAAATTGCCCCTCACCGGACTCTCCCGCCGGGCTCTGCCCTCCCGTTCCCCGCTCCCGCACCGGGCTGTGGCCCCGCTCCGTGCACCGTGCTCCGCTCCCGCTTCTCCGCTCGGTCTGCCCTCCCCGCCGATGCCCGCACCGAGCTGCCCCGCTTCCCCTCGCGGTCCCCCGCGTCGGGCTGCCTACCCCCGCCGCCTCCCCGGCTCCCCGGGCAGGTGCCGGTGCCGGTGCCGCCGCGGGGCGGGCGGTGGGTGCCCCGAGCTGCGGTCGCGCACGGCCGCCGCACGCACACGCACACACACACACACACGTACGGGGGGCACACACATGCACTCACATGCACTCACATGCACTCACATGCACACGCCCGGGTGCACACCGGCACCTGCTGTGCACGTACCCTGTGCAACAATAGGGACCCCTCTGTGGGCACCCCGGGGGGCTGCGTGGGGAGGGGGTTTGGAGAGGACAGAGCAGCGCGGTGGGGTTTGTGTGGGGTCTGCCTGGAGGACGTGCCCTCCACAGCCAGCAGTCCCCTGTGGGACATGAGGTGGAGCTGGGCTGGGGATACTGGGGCTGCAGCATGAGCAGCCCCAACCCCAAAGACAGCAGGGAGAGGTTCCACATGGACGTTGCCCGGCCTGTCCCCAAATTCCAGGAGAAAGCGGGGGTTGACTCGGGTTTGGGCCACCTGTGATATGCCCCAGCCTGGGACAGAGGAGCTCCTGACGCCTGAGGTCCCACCACAATCCCACTGAAGTCCCATGGCATAATGCCCCCACTTTACACACACACACAAACACACACACACTCTCACGTTATTTATTCCATTTTCCCCAGAGCATTCATGTCAGTGCCTGCACTCTTCTCCCTGACCTGGCACCAGACCCAGGCACGTGCCCCAGCAGCGACCTGCTGGCAGCCACACGCTTTCCCTCGTTTGTTAATACAACGTGGTCTATTTCCACATTTGGAGCAGTGCCTGGAGATGTGGATATAAATCCCCAGCAATAGCGGGTGGGCTGCTGACAGCTGCCGGGAAGGTTTGTCCATTGCTTTACCATTCCCTTCAACACCTTCACATGCTTCCAGCATCTCCACAAGCACACCCAGTGCTGTGGGCACTGGGTGAGCTCAGTGCTGGGGCTGCAGGGATGCTGCTTGTGCTCTGCACCCTGTCCCTCTTGTGTCCTGAATGCTGTCCCCACACACAGCGCGTTCCTCTGCAGCTACACTGGGCTCTGTGTTATCCATAGTGTCTGGGCACTGCTCTGTGTGGAGATGTCAAATGGGAGTCTCCTGCCACCTGTGTCATGACAGGGCAGGGATTTTCTCTGAAGTCTCTGTCAGATACAGCTAAAATGGATTAAAAAGGGTCAGAGAGTTTTAGAGCATGCCACACAAATAAAGAGGGCATTTTCTGAGGGCAACACAATCCAGGCTCAGCACCTATCCAGGCAAAGTGTCTATCCATGATGCTGACTGGAACACTCTGGACCAACACAAGGCACCTCTCAGTGTCTGAGCTGCAGCAGGGGCACAGAGCTGCCATGGCAGGGGGCTTGGAATGAGGTGATCTCTAAGGTGTCTTCCAACCCAAACCATTCCGTGACTTTGTGACTCTACGAAACACAGAGGCTTCCCAGCACAGTGTCCCCAGAGATGTAGCCAGAAGTGGGCCGAGAAAGAAGCAGAATTAAAAATAAATGTAAGTGCATCCTGACACGTTAACTACATTTAGAGAGTCTTTAGTACCAACCCACTCCGCAGGAAGGCAGGAGATGCTTGGAGACAAGTAGGTCATGGGACACAGATTGTCCCAAATCAGCAGGAAAAGATGGATTTGGAGCAGGCAGGCATATCTCTGTGAACAGATGGGCAGGAGCAGATCTGCTGCCTCACCATCGCCAAATTCCCTGGGAAGACAGAACTGCCACCAGTTTGCTCCCGAGCAGAGCTGTGGTCAAGTCTCTGTTCTGGAGCACCCAAGTCCTGAGGCTGCCCATGCACCCAGGGATGCCAAGGCCAGGAGCCTGGCCAGGATGGGGATTTGTGGGGCAGAAGCAGAAGCACTCCTGCTGTGGCTCCCCCCTGCCTTCGTACAGGGACAGGGCTGAGCCTGCCTGGGGTCAGGGCTCCATGCTGCCCAGGGGGTGCTCCTGCACCCCAATCCCACAGCAACGCTCGAGAGGCCACCTGTGAGGGATGAGGTGGAGGGATGTGTCTTGCTGGCATTGCTGCCCCAGGATCCCACTGCCATTGCTGCATGGGAGCTGGAGGGGACCCCAGGCCTTTGAAGGGGCCTCAGGGTAGCCTAAAAACCTTCCCCAGCCTGATCCTGAGTGACTGAGCATGAGGATGGGGACTGGCAAAGGCCACTCCATCCCCAAGGTGCTGGCACTAAAGAAGGGGAGGAGAGACTGAGACAGCCAAGATCTATGCTGCCAGTGCAGGAGCAAAGAGAGGAGGGAGACAGCCAAGGTCAGAGGGAGCACTGCCAAAATTCACAATAAAACTGCAGGAGTGCTGGAGGGGAGAGACAGACGACTTGGAAAGAAAAGGAAAGAGGAGGGAGGGAAGGAGTCTGGGAGACAGAACAGGGTAAAGGAGCCAGACAGGGAACCAGGGATGGGAACATATCGCTCCTCAGATGAAATGATTGAACATGGATGAGAGGGACAGCAAATGGGAGCCTCAGACAGGCAGAAGAGGACAGCAGGAGCAGCAATGTGATGGAGCCAGACAGGACCTGGCTCTGTTCCCTAATACAGCCCTGTGCAGCACAGCCCAATTTTGGGGAGTGCACAGCTGTCTGGTGTCCCCTGGCAGTGCTGACCCCTATCCAGCCTCACCACCGAGGTGAAGTTTCATTCCTGCCTCCTTAGCATTCACAGCATCTCATGGCAGAGCAAGTTTCCGCAGCCAGCACGGCTCAAGGTGACTTGGAGGTCAGGGAAAAAGCAGCCGGGCAATTCAGGAGCTGGCTCTACGTCACTGAGAGATCCAGCAGTTTGGGAGAGATGTTCAGCACATCACAGCCTCCCTGCCTGTCACTGTCAGTCTCTGTGCACCCCAGACACAACATCCCAGTGCTCCCCATGGATGAGGGAGTGGATTCTGATCCAGCAATCTGCTCCTGGGAGCTGCTGCCACCAGCAAGGCAGGCAGGGCTGGACATGAGCCCTGGTGCTGGGGAGGGCATCAGTGAGGGTGGTTCCCCTCATGCAGGGCATGGAGTTCCCAGACAGGTTTGGTGCCCTGGAAGAGCGGTGGATACCTGCTCTGGGGCTCGTGGGAGGTTCCTCCCAAGTCCCTGTTGGGGACACACCAGACCAAGGATGGTTTATAGCAAAAATCCCTCTCCTTCCCCAAACACCTGAGCCCCAGCCCAAAGGCAGCTGGAGGGATGGAGCCCTGCTTGCCACTATGACCAGATGCAGAGCCGCACTGGGATGAGGCTCAGCACTTTCCTGGTGATAATTAAGATCTCATTATCTTCAGCTAACACCAGGGAGACAGGGAAAACCTCAGGTGCCTTGTGATATGGCAACAGCTGATGCTCCGGGCTGTGCCTGGGAGCAACGGGAGCCTTGCTTGTTCTGCCTGAATATAAAGCATGGAAAGCACGAAGCAGAGGGTGAAAAACTATTTTTTTCCTGGCTGGTGACACCTAAATGTGCAAACATACTGTCTTCTCTCAGGGGTGGCTAGAGCTGACACAGATGGATGGCTGTGCACCTTTTGCTTTACCCCCCCCTGCACAGAGGTCCGACCTGAGGCTCTGTGTTTTTGTTTGGCTTTTTTGTTTTAGTTTGCAAATTTGCTTCACCAGTGGAGTTTTATGAGACGTGTCTGGAGCCAGGCAGGAGCTGCTCACCTGCAGAGAAAGGGATGGGGCGGTGTCTGCAGATGGGCTCTTAGAACGTCAAGGGTGAAAGGGATTGGGAGAAGGGGAGGGGAAAGACAAGGAGAAGAGAAGGGAGAAGAGGAAGAAGGACAGATGCATGGGGATAGTGAGACTGCTCTCCACTCTCATGAACCCAAAATGAGGGGTGCGGCAACGTGTTCCCGGGCACGTGTGGGTCGTGCTGGTGAGCCCCAGGAAGGAGGGGGCCATTTACACCATTTACCGCGGCAGGTCCCTGCCGGGGGCTCCGTGGCTGTGCGGGGCCGTGGCGAGTGGACCCGGCCCCGCGAGGGATCCCAGGCGGGCCCGGTGTGGGACCCCCCGCCCCGGCGCCTTCCCGCCCTCGGCTGAGGCCTCAGGAGGGTCCGATCCGCCCGCCCGCCGAGCCCCCTCAGCGCCTGCTGATCCCCCGGGGCTCCTCATCCCCGCAGCGCCCCTCACGGCCGGCTGTGCCCACCCGCCCCTCAGGGTCCCGCTAAATCCAACACGTCCCTCCTGGCACTGCTCAGGCCCCCTGTCCCCTCAGCGTCTTGGTCAGCCCATCGCCTCAGGTCCTGCTAAATCCGCAGGGCCTGGCTGGATCCTTCTGTCCCCTCAGGCAGCACTAAACCACCCTGACCCATCCTCTGAGGATCCCGCCAAATCCCCCCTGCCCGCCCTCTGAGGGTCCTGCTAAATCCTTTCATTCCCTCAGCGCTCTCAGGGTTCTCCCGTTCCCTCAGCGCTCAGCTGGGTGTCCCAGCCCTTCTGGAGCCCACTAAATCCTCACATCCCCTCAATATCTGCCTGGGTGCCCTGTCCCCTCATCCCATAAATCCTCTCATCCCCTTCAGTGCCTGGTTGTGTCCCCCCATCCCCTCAGATCCCACTAAATTCCCCCTTCCCCACAGCACCCAGCTGGGCCCCCCTCCCCTCAGATTCCATTAAATCCCTAATCCCACTTGCTGCCCCAGGACCCATCTCCTGTTGCAAGGGGAAGAGCTCAGGGAATTTTGTCAGGGCTGCCCTGAGACCTTTGGCCAGGCACCATGTTCTACGTCCATTTGCTCATCAACAAGCGAGGGCCGCTGGCCAAAATCTGGCTGGCTGCCCACTGGGAGAAGAAGCTCACCAAGGCACATATCTTTGAGTGCAATTTAGAGGCCACCGTACAAAAAATCCTCTCCCCAAAGGTAGGCTGTGGCGTGAGGAGGGATCTCCTGGAGAGTCCTGGAGGTGGAGGTGTTTGCCTCCCACAGAGAGCTCTGTTACTTCTATGTAATATTTTAATGTTTTTGCCAAAAATACTAACTCCTGAACAACTTTTTTTTTTTAATTTAAATCCTCACAGTTTGCTATAGCTCTGCGAACCTCTGGACACTTACTCCTGGGGGTGGTGCGGATTTACAACAGGAAAGCAAAGTACCTCTTGGCAGACTGCAATGAAGCTCTGACCAAAATGAAGACAGCCTTTCGTCCAGGTATACACAAAACTCGGAATTTTTTCATCTGTGTCCTCTCATTTTAAAAGTTAATTTTTGGATATTTCTGTTAAATACACATTACTGACCCCAAAGGAAACTGAACATACTAGCGCCTACTGCTGACCTGGCTTAATTTAGTGCCACTTCAGGTCTTTGACTCCCTTAACAGAAGCAGTATATTAAGTGGTCTTACAAGATGCTGGAGTTCAGCCTCCATTGCTAGATAATTAATTTTAATTTCTGAGGACACCAACAGCATGTCTAACAGTGTCAGTGCCAGACCTGACAGTGTGTTTTGAGCTCTAGCCATGCAGACAGGGAGAAGGGAGCTGAGATGACTGGAGCCTTTTCCAACAGGCTCTGTGTTTGTCATACTTAGGCAATAAATGGGAGGCACTGTTGTCTAAAAAAAAAGCCTGGGAATACCAGTGTCTACTGCCAGTTTTAATGTGCTTTGTGACCTGGTCTGTTTGCAAAATATCAGTAATTACTCTGCATTATTCTCAAGGATATTATCACAGAATTACAGAATCACACAACCATTTAGTCTGGAAAGGCCCTCCAAAACCCAGTCCAACTGTTCACCCAGCACTGCCAAGGCCACCACTAAGCCATGTCCCCAAATACCACATGTCTTTCAAATCCCTGCAGGGATGGTGACTCCAGCATTACCCTGGGCAGCCTGTGCCAGGGCTTGAAAACCCTTTTAGTGAAGAAATTTTCTTTAATATGCAGCTGAAATCCACCAGTCACGACTTGTGGCTATTTTGGAGAGAGATCCTATAGCAACTTGGAGAGCACCACACAGCTCAGGAACACACAACATTCACCACTGCTGCAACAGAGACTTTACCTAGATAGAAGGGGGGAGAAGAATCTCAGCAGGAGTGGTAAAATGCTGAAAGAGGCTGTTCAGGGAGCTGTGAAATCTCTATCAACAGAAATAGACTGAAGTGATCTGACTTTGAAATTAACCCTGTTCTGAGCAAAAGGTTGGGTTGGACGACCTTGAGAAATCCCTCTTCACGTGAATTTTTCCAGGATTCTCTGATTCCCAAGAATTGGCAGTCTGAGTACATAATTATTTAATGCTGGAGAACAGTGTTATGGAGACAGAGCAGAGGAAAGGAAAACAGAGTGGTTCATTTGCAGTGCTGTGAAAAACTCTGGGCTAGACATCAGCTGGGAGAACCTTCCAGAGACTTAAAGCAGCTGCTCACCAACACAAGTACTTACATATTTCAGGTCCTGTTGCAGCAGACTCTTTTGTATCTGTCTGTAAAAAATAGATCCCCTTAAGCACATGGAAACTGAAATTCCACTTTTGGGTGCCTAAGCTTTACCATTCTGTGATTTAGAATGGCAGCAGTCCCTCCTGACAGGTTTATAGGCTTATTATACCTGCTAGTGAGAGAACACTACTTTTATTTTATTGATACTTATTTTGTTATGTTGTCTGTTTATTTCAGGGCTTCTTGACCTTCCAGAAGAGAACTTTGAGGCTGCTTATCAGTCCATTACATTACCTGAAGAATTTCATGATTTTGAAGCACCACTACCAGATGTCAAGTAAATGCTTCCCTAGTTTTTATTCATTTTTTTAGCATTTCCAGAAGTAAAAGCTTTATTTGCTGTTATCTAATCGAGACTCAGATTGGGTGGTTTTGATTTAATAACTGAATCCTCCTAAATTCTGAGCTCTACAAGGCTACAGCCACAGGCATTGTGCTTTGGTGGTTTTCCTCAGTCCTTTAATCAACAGACCTTCACAATGGAATAAAGTCTTGAACTTAGACTTCAGGATTTTAAATTGTCTGAGTGAAGGATGCAAACAGTTTTTGAACCTCAAGAGAAGAGATAAAAATTAGTATTAATCCTGAAAGATGTGGCCAGTAACCACACAGTGTTGCACTGTTCCACTGGGTAACTTCATTTTGTTTCTGCTCCACTGCTCTCTGGGGCTGGGGTGTTTTATCAGCAGTAGTCAGCCTGGCTCCTGAGAAAAAGCCAGCATATTTCTTAGGCTTTTTTGACACAAAGCAGCATTAATGTAGAAAACTGATAAAAAACAGGAGGCTAAGTCATGTTTCTGATGGCTCTGATGCCCCAAAGGTCCAGGACAAGAGATTTCCACTGAGGGTTGCTCTGCACCTCCTCATAAATACAGTTTGATGGGATCAGTAAGGGTTTATTATTTTGTAAGTACAGCTGCAATATAATACACTTTATTCAAGCACCTCAGTGTGCTGACTCTGTAAAGGTGCCTTTTCTACCTGCCCAAAGAGTTGTGTAATTTGATTTAAAAGATGTTTCACTAATTAGTTGCCTTCTGACAAGGGTCTGGTAGGTACCAGGGCTTGGATGGGAACAAAATCACAAAAGCCCAAGTTTACTGGCAAAAGGGAGTGGAGAAAGAAACCCAAATATGGGGACTTGTGATAAAATGCCAGGACTGAAGGCTGTGTAGAAACAAGTTTTCACATTCCAGCTGAATGCTCAATGAGTTTCTGTTCACTCTGTATTTTTATATTTTTTTCATCAGGACCATTGATGTTGCTGAACATTTTACCTTGAATCAGAGCAGAGCTGAAGAAATCACACTTACAGAGGATTATGAAAGCAGTAAACTTCTCTGTGATAGAAACTTTGGTGAGAGAAGTTGAGAAATTTGAGATATTTCATAAAGGGAAATGTGTTTTATGTGAAACTTTTATGTGAGCCCTTTCCACATGTAAAAAAACTGTGATTAAAGGTCCTTTTTTTTCATGCTTTTGCTGATTGGCCTATCATGCTGTTTTAGGTTTAAAATTTTGTGTAAGCAATATAACCTGGTGTCAGAGACTGAGAACCAAAGCAAACATTTCCTGCTTTTACTGAATTAGATAACATTGTTTATTCTTTATTCCATTTGAGGTGTGGGATGTCTTGCAATCTTTTAAAAATTACTTGAAAAATTAGGAAATTGCTACATCTGGGTTTACAAAACTCACACAGATGAGGGATCAGGAATTGTGTGTTCCCTCAGATGAAGAAGCAGAAGCACTGAGGAGACAGAGCTTCTTTGAGGGCAGTGTCCTGACGAGCAGTAACAGTCTGGTGGCCGATCCCAACTCAGCCAGCACCAGCGGAGACAAATCTGTGCTGCACGAAGATGTTTACTGCTTCCAGGATGACCATTTTGGGGATGAGGAAGATGCTGTAGATATGATTGGTAGGGTTTGCCACAGGCAAACAGAATCGGTTCCTTTCCAAATATTTTTATTCTTACAGGAAAACAATCTAGACAGCACCAAAGCAATTGTTGTCAAACATAAACCTGATGTTATTTGTTGTTTTCATACATATATTTTTCCTACCTGTTACTAAGTCTGTGGTACTTAGACACTGCCAAGTCAAATTGGTTTAAAGGCTGTATTTCATTATTTTAGAATTAAAGGCATTAAATTTATGCTTAATGTTTAACAATTTAATTTCTGTTTTCAAAGCTGAAATAGTGTAGCATTTTTATCCTTACTGTTGTAATAACAAAGGCAGCAAAGTAGTTTCTACATCACTATGGCTTTTATGTAAACCTTACAGATTGATACCTGTTAGCACTATCAAGGCCATATTTAAAAAAAAAAGGTGGAAATCTCCAACTTGTGACTAATCCCCTCCTTTGTGTGCTGTTGCAGACAGCCGTACCACTGCCGGCCATCTGCAGAAGCTGAGCTTGCTTTCTTTGCAGAGTATTAACCTTGACTAACATTAGGCTGTATCAGGCTATTTCATGACTACTAAGGCTTAGAATGATTAAAACTATGTGCTTTGTATTTAAGAAATGCTGTTGAGGGATGAGCAAAATGTCCTAGATAAAGACATTCTTGATGTGGAGGAAGCACGTCCTTTGTCACAAGATCTGCCAGAGAACAGCACAGCCAGTGAGTTTGCAGTGTCTGCTCCATCTCACATAAACCCTCTGTTCCTGTGTTAAAGCCTAATGTCACTCACATTCAGCTTTTTGTAGTGTCCTTGTGCCTTTTTTCTTTCTTCATTTATTTTGCTTTTTTTTTCTTTTTCCCTAAACTGCTTCATCCACCATTTTAGGATAATTTTATTTGATTTAAGGATTCCAAATTTGTAGCTTTGTAGTTTGACATTGCTTAGAAATACCTTCATGTGACATCCTGTTGGATATGCTGTTGGTCCACCCTGCTGTTCACAGCATGATGTCCCTTTTGAGGGAGAAAGAAACCCAAATAAGGCTGTCCTGTAACAGTGAACTTTCCTAGTGAGAGCTTAAAAGGTCTTTTCCAACAGAAACAATTCTGTGCTTCTATTTCTGCCTTCATATTTCTGCAACAAATGAAATTTAAGTAACTCATAAAGGTGTTGTTAATCTTCTTTTGGTTTGATGCTGATGAAAGAAATTAAGATTTGATAACTATTTCTGAGAAATTTTTGCTATCTTAAATCCTTACTCCCTCATCAGAGTGTTAGTTTAAAATAGAGAATTCTGGAACAGCTTTAAAGGGATAGAGTGGCTCTTGCCTCTCCTTGCCCTAGTGCTGGTGCTACTTGTTCCTTTTCTGTTGACAGAGATGTCCCCGCTTGCCTGGAACTGGAAAAGATAGGGATTGAAACTAAACACCTTTGCCCCTAAACACTTTCTGTTGTGTGGGTTTTCTCCAGATCAGTTGTTCTGTCTCTGCTATGACCTGGTCATTCTGGGATCAGTGAAGGGAAGTGTTGACTATGAGAGTATGAGAAGGAACTGGTGAACATAAGTGAGATTATAAACAAAACCACAATTTCCTATTTCTTGCTGGTTTTTGTCTGATATCGTTCTCTGTCCTGTGATTGAGAAATTAGTCCATATTGATTTTTTTTTTTAATTTGGGTAATTTGCTGGGTTTTCCTGCAGTTGAGTCCAACTTTGGAGACACCACCGTAAAGGATGGAGATCACACAAGGAGTGAGACAATCCTTTTGTTCGAGGAAGAAGGATTTGTGCTTGAGCCAGTTGATGATACAGGTCAGAAGTTGATCAGTTTCTGATGAATGTTTGCATTAACTAGATTTAGTTTGCTTCTTAGTAGTGAAAATACTTGCAATATAGATTATTCCCACCTTAGATTTCATCTACTCCTGCTGTCAGAGTTCCTTTTTATGATAAATATTATATAAACACAGTGTCAGGTTATTTATCTCAGCTGCCTGAATTTCTGCTTGCAGTTTCTTCCATGTACCAAGTCAAGTTTTGTTACTCTTCAGCTCTGGTAGGATTGCAAGCTTGGCCTTGGGGGTGGTACTGAAGATTCACCTGAGAAACTTTAATTGCCAGTCACACATGTGTGACTTTTATATTTAAAATCACAATCCTAAAATTTTCAAACCTTTGTAAAACATTGGTTTGTGAACTTTTAACAAGATCCAAGGTGAAGAGTATTACATTTCCTCTGCAGAGGAAATCTAAATGTCCCCTATCGCCCTGGTGGCTGTTTATGAATAAGCAAGCTCATGTTGACAGCAATATTTACAATGTTGGAATTTTCCGGCCTGCCCAAATAATATCCAGGAAGTTATGGCTATATAACTAATCTGTGTCTTTCTTTTGTGTTTACGTCTTGATTAAATTGCTAAAGGATTAAACTGACAAATACAGATATTAATTATGAGGTAATGAAACCTCTTGAGTGCATCAGCAGTTCCTGGAGCACTTAACTTCCTCATGGATTAAAGACAGCTTATTCAGTCTTGTTGTTCTATCATGTGTTCTCATTAAGTTGTCCTGTACCCAGCTCTTTATTAAAAGAGTCATTTGTCTTCCACAATTAAATATAAGGGAATTTCCAGTAAAATAGTACAAAGAGTGAAAACTTCATAGAAGCTTTTGAAGGAATGGCCTGTGCACTTGTGCTTTGATTTTCAGGTCTAGGCAGTGTTCAGAAGGTCAGCAGCCAGGTTGATTCAGTGGTTGATTTTGTGTGCGTAATGTCCTAGGAATAGACCTTAAGACTTGTTATTAATACTTGCTTTATGTAGCTGTCACCCAGAGGAAGAAAAAACAAAGAAAGAGGAAGCTGCTGGTGGATGCAGAGAAGGAGCTCAGCTGCCAAACCATTTACAAGCAGCTCACCAGCTACGATGACCTGCTGGCCACGCTGGACCTCGCGCCCCCAACCAAGAAAACGATGATGTGGAAGGAGTGGGGAGGTGTGGATAAACTCCTGTCTCATTCTACACAGCCTGTGCTTCATGCTCAGCTGCAGAAGGTAAACATCACTTCCTTGAGGGGTCTATGCCACTGTGTAGGTTCAGGGATTGTTGCAGAGCTGGGATCTGACTGAGAGAGGTTTTGTAGATTCTGTTTGATCTGAAGCTGGAGCTGGCTGCAGGTGTGCACTGAGCATTGCTCTGGAGTACAGGTCAGCTGGACACCTGATGGTTTGCACACTCACCACTAATTGTTTCATCATCTGTGGGGTCACAGCCTTAACCTCCTGCACTCCAACAAGTGAAAAATTACAAAAGGAACATGAGAGCTGATGTTTCATTTCACACACTGGTGCCTGACTGATCTTATACTGACACACAGCTTTTTACTTTTGTGTCCATTTCTTTTATACTTTCTCCTTTGTTGTATTGTTTTCTAGTTTATTTCCTCTTTGTAATCAGCTTGAGATATCTTTTCTTTATATTTACTTTAAAGGTACATCAGACATTATCAGTAGAACATTGCTACTGGATTTGGAAGGGTTCACTGCAGCAGTGCAGCTTCACCACTTAGAGTCCAGCTGCAGAATTACAACTTGCTCTTTAAGAAGATGAAAACTGCAGATGTTTCTTTCTTTCATCTTTCCCTACTGGCTGGCTTAAAGAAAAATGATTCAAGCTGCTCCTAAGATTTTTTTTTTCATGGAATTCATGTCAGAGCTGCAGAAGGCTATTGCTTAAAAACAAACAAAAAAAATTGCAGATTTTCAGAGTGACCTAATTCAAGTACTGAAATTCTGGGTTGCAGTCATTAACATACAGCTCATATTCATATTTTGTGTTGATGTTTGTAAATAATCTGACATGATATTCTGAAAGCAATCAAAAAAATAATTATTTTCAGTTGTTTGAAAAATGCTTCAGGACTGACAGATTTAAGATGAGAGCAAATGGAATACAGAGGATGTCTGAAATGAAAGAAACTAGAAAAGAGCAAGATACTACAGGTAATATTTTAATTCTGTTGTGCAGCATTAGCTGTTAGAGAGTATTTTCTATTCTACATAGTGTTTGAGAGACACAAGAGGTGTTAGTGCACAGTATTACACAAATTACTACTTTGCTGTTCTTTTGTTTCTTAGAAATTAAATGAAATCCAGGTCTTTTCTTCCTTGTGGCATAAGAAGATATTTTTGGTTTCATCTTTGTTTCTCTAATTGTCTCTGAAACTGCAGATTTGGGTAAAGCTGCTTGTGGGGTTTTTTTAAAATATTATTTTTAAAAATAGCTTCCCAATTGTTCTAAGCTTAATCAAACTTCTCTCCAAAATTCCAAATTAATGTAAATAGTTCTACTTGTATCTGGAAGATGTGTTTGGTTAATATCAGGCAAGAAGAAATGCTCCATTTTAGATCTTCTGAGAAGGATATATCCACTTTCATTCCTTTGCTCTGCTGGGAACATAACCTGCCTCAAAAATTAATTAACAAACCCACCTCCTGTGAGTCCATAAAGGTCAGCTTTCACAAAGGGAAAACCTGCCTCGGAAGGTTCTTCTTCCATGCTCCTGTTGGGAATGATGTTTCTGCAATATTTGCTTATTCTGGCTCTTCCTCTCAAAGACTGTGAACTTGTGTGTGATTTTTGGTTTTCAGTGGGGTTTTTTTTTTAAGGATGGTGATTCACAGTAATTTCCTCTTCAACCTTGGTTTTCTATTAATACAGAGATGCTGCCAGTAGAAGAGACAAGTTACCTGCAGAAGCCAGCTCATTCCGAGACTGGGAGGAAAATTAGAAATTATTCCTTTACATTGACATCACAGAATGACAGAAATGAAACCAATGAGAACTGTGGTGAAATGATAGTGAGCAGTTTCCCTCAGTTTTAGAGACCTAAGTGTGACTATTGGTTCCACTTTTTGCTAAGGTTCCATTTAAAACATGTTAGGAAATTACTAATGTTTGGAAAGGATGCTAAAAACAGTCAAGAGAGCATTAAGTAGCTTGTGTGATGAAAGTTTATTTATAATTTGGTAGACTCCCACAATGAATGAATGATTCATTAAAATGTTTATTAATCAGCATAGATTACAGTTTAATCACTATGTACAAATGAGAACTTAATATTAAACATGAAATATTGTACTGAAGAGACAAATATAATCCTTATAAAGGATAAAACTTACATTTGTGTGTCATATTGAGGAAATATTGGGGAAATACTTAAGAAATATCTCTTCCATCTTCACTTCTGCTAAAGGGCACTCTTTAGAGAATATGAGGCTCATTAATGTTGAAAAGTGATGAAATTGGAGCTAATGGCATCAGAAAATGTGTGCTCCATGCCTGAACTCTGCCCATAGGTTTAAATTCATGTTTAGATAAATCCCACAGCAAGGTCCTTCCCTGTATCAGGAAAGACATGGTAGAAATAGCATCTATTAACTCATTTGGAAAAACTTCATTACAATAAATTCTTTGAGCAGAACTGTGTAAAGAGAAATGCACTGTGTGCATAAATGGTCAGGCCTAGTGATTGTCTTTTTCATGTTCACAGGAGGATGGAGCAGCTTTCTCCGAGAGCTCAAAAAATTCCCTGAACCAGGAAGCTGAAGCACAGCAGGTGGAGGTGTCAGAGGTGTGTGTCCTAAGCTGATGGCCCTGGCTTGTTCCAGAAGAGAACCCTGTTCCTTTAAAAAAAAATAATAAAATAGCATCATGAACTTACAGGGAGTTTTGCTGAAAGGAAATAGTGAGAAGGAAATAATTTCAACTTCGGTGGAGGTGTCAGAGGTGTGTGTCCTAAGCTGATGGCCCTGGCTTGTTTCAGAAGAGAACCCTGTTTCTTAAAAAAAAAAAACCATCACGAACTTACAGGGAGTTTTGCTTCCTGTGAGACGGAAATAATTTCAACTTTGCTGGTTCTGAGGATGCTCAGGTACTCTGAAACCAGGGCAGTCAGCTGCAGGCTTCAGAGGTTAAACCCCAAATCCCAAGCCAAATATTTGTATTTTTCTTTAAGCTCCTGGCCAGTGCAAATCCTGTCAGAATCCCAGTCCCACAGAGCAGTACCTGGCTGTGGAGCTGCCTCACTGGGACCATATCCATGTTGCACCTGAGCTACAGAACAAAGCACACGGGTCCCATTCTTTCCTTTGATTCACAGCCTTGTATGAGCACAGAGGTGTCAGAGGCTCCTGATTCCCTGGGTTTGGCCATCCAGATATCCAGCTCCATCTGGATTTTCAGCCTGGAACTCCTGTCCTTTTTCTTGGGGTGTGTGACTTTTTCCACACCCTGACTAACTTCCTGTTTACTTCCTCTCAAGGAGCAAACAACAACCGAGAAAGACAATGAAGAAATAAGATGGAGCAAAAGAACTCTTCGGCTACAAAGAACTTTACAGGTACCAGTGCTGGATTTTGTTATTAGATACCAAAAGCTGGTGTTGATTTCAGCTGGACCATGTTAGAAAAGCTCTTCTTTCTACTGTCCATTGTGTCTCTGCCTCTCACTTGCAGCATGTGCTTTTTTTGGTATTTCTGTGGAAAATCAGGCTTCTGGGTGCTTGATGTGTGGTGTTCCTTTCCACTGCTGCTGGAACTACTAGAATTTTCTTTTTCTTGAATGTATTTCAAAGGTTCTGTGCAAACAGTAAATAAATATTTACACCTGAATACAGCCTTTAAAAAACAAGAGATAACTGAGCCCAAAGAACTGCTCAAGGATATTTATTGTTGTCAATCACAAAGCATGGTGGAAGCACTCCACTGGTGTAATGGAATTCTGTGGAATTGTAGGTTTTAGTAGCACACATAAGCACCAACACTATTATGGTGTTAAAATACTAAGAGTCACTTCTATAATCACAGATGGAAGGTAGCCAGAGAGGTTGTGTGCTCCCCGTCTCTGGAAGTGTTCAAGGCCAGGTTGGCTGGGGCTTGGAACAACCTTGTCTAGTTGAAGGCGTGTTTGAGGTCCCTTCCCACCCAAACCAGTGTGTGCTTCCATGATTCTATGGAGATTGGATCCTATTTGAGGCATTCAGGCAGAGACATTCCCTCTATGCAGTGCTCTCTGGACTCCATGGGCTCCAGTTTTACTGGCGGACAAGCTGACCTGACTGATTTCTCATTTCCCTCAGCAGCAGCTGAAGAGATCAGGCGTGTGTTCCTTCAGTTTCCGGGAGCTCTGCCGGAGGAACAACCGCAAAGAAGCTGCAGCCACATTTTACACCTTCCTGGTGCTGAAGAAGCACCAGGTCCTCGAGCTGCAGCAGCCCGAGCCCTTCGCTGACCTCACAGCCACTGCTGGGCCCATGTTTGACAAGGTCTCATAAACTGATCAAATACAGCTGAGGTTGCATTTTCCAGCAAATCGTTTTCCTGGAAAAAGGATGGAATGTCTTGTCAAGCTGTGGGAGGTGAGCAGAGCTCCCTGTCCTCTACACCACCCAGTCATGGCTGGTGCAGGGGTCCTGCCCCAGGTGATCACTACAGGGCTTATAATTAATATTTATAGTTACATGATGAGTTATATTATAGTTATACAGTATATTAATAAAATACCGTTAAAATATATGTTCTACATAAGATATTTACATTGTGAAGGATTTTATGACAGTCCTCAAAGGAATTTTATAAAAATCCTCAAAGGAATTTTATAAACGTCCTTCAAAATCTTTCTCAGACACTACCTTTGAACCTTAAATTATTTTTGACAAGCCTTGTGTCTGTTAATTTTCTAATACCATCAGTAAGTTATCTGTTTACTCTCTGTAGAAAAAAAAATATTTAGACTATTTAAAATTGTTCCTGTGAAAGACTGTTCAGTATTTCATATTTTAAGATCTAGCAGGGTAGTGTCTCCAGTGTTGCTTTTGTGTGTTCAGGCAGACAGAGGTTACACTGGCCTTAGAAGAGTCCAGGAGATGCAGCAAGAAATTCTATTTCCTAGAAATCCTGCATTTTCAGATTTCACAGAGCCTTTTAACTTATTAACACCTCTATTCATGTGTAGATCTATTTAAAAATTGATGTTAACTGAAGTATTAGTTCTTTGCATTTTTATCTAATTTAGGATAAATTTTATCCCTTTTACTGTCATTTTCTGAAGCTGTTGGTTTCTGGCTTCCTCCCACCTGGAGGAGGGATGATTGTGCCCCACTCAGCTGCTTTGGTGCTGTGGGGACATCACTGTTCCTTCATGTGGAATCAATAAAAGTCAGAAGATGTTTCCTTTGCTTGTTGGTGTTTCTTCTGAAGGATCAAATCCTGTGCCTTCATCTCAGAGTCAGGGATTTGGTGCTTTTACTTTGAATGGGAAAGGATGGGTGATGCTGTCACCTGGCTTCCAGGTGTTCACTCACCTCAGTGACACCCTGTTTCTCTGACCCACTAATCTGTGTGGTTCCTGTCCCACAGGATTTGGGGAGGTTTGCTTTTGAGGGTCTGTTTAAGGGAGTAAAATGGCTTTAAAAGAGGGGAAGCCCCAGTGTGGGCCATGGGGTGGCCACTGGCTGTGGGGGTGTTCCAGCTGAGTGTCCTTTCTGAACAGGAATATTTGATTAAATGAGTATTGGGCCTTTGCTGCTGTTCTCAGAGGGGTTCCTTTTCTGGGTGTAAGGAAGGGAAGATCATCCCTGTATGGTAAAAACCTCTCAGTTTTCTGCAAAAGAAATGCTATTTTTGGGTGGGAACAGGCACATGGCTCAGGCCAAGACTGGAACCAAGGGCAGCTCATCTTTTCCTTGTGGCAGGCCTGGCACTTCCGAAACCCGGCGCTGACCTGGGAAAAGGGTTTGGGTTTGGGTTTGGTGAAAACCTCTCTCTCTTCCCCTGCAGCAGGCCCAGTCTCCCTGGAGCAGTGCTCCCACTCTTCAGGTCAGGGTATCCTGGGAGACCGAGCACTGCAGACTGCAGAGGGAAGGAGAAACCATTTTTCTTTCCCAAAAGCCATCAGGAATGACTCTGCATCTCACAGCAGAGCTGCTGCCTGTGCCACATGGTCAGAGCTGCTCCAGTGGCAGCAGCTGTGATAACTCATTAATTTTCCTTTCAAGGAGAGAGGCTGTGCGTTGGATTCACCGGGAAAGGGGGAAACAAAAGGCAGCTGGAGGCGGGCAGGAATACATGGGAGGCAGGATATATATATACACTGAAAACAGTCTGTGTGTCGGGATAAATGAGGTACAAATCATGCAGGAAATAGTGCTGGAGGAAAGGCTGACATGTATTTACCAAACAGGTTTGTCAAAACTCTGGAATAACCATGGGGGAGTCACAAAGGGAGCTGGGAATGTCTGGGAAGCACAATGGGCCTCGAGTCCAGACCAATACTGGGCACAGGCTCTACTCTGGCTGTGAATATTTCCCACACGAACATTTCCCCCCATAAATCCGGCTGTGGATGCACACACGTGGATGTTTGTAGCACAGGCAGTGCAGCTCTGACCCTCCTGGTCCCCACGGGGTGTCCGCAGCCGGCCTTGGGGCACGGAGCCCCCCAGGAGCCGGTGCTCGCTGCTCCCGCACGGGCTGCAGGACGCGGCGCGGGGGCTCCCGAGACGGCTCTTCAGCAAATAATTCGGGAAGGTTGATCTTGACAGCTACAGCAGGAAGCGTGTGGGAAGTGCCATGAGTAACCGGGCTGTGCTGCAGAACGGGACGTGCCGTGCCGTGCCGTGCCAGCCTCAGCCTCATCTCCCAAACCTCCCGGACGCCAGTCACAGCCCGGGACAGCAGCTCGGGGTGGCTCTTGCTGCTTCTCCACCCCAGCCCCGGCGATTAGGGCTGAGCCAGAGGGATTGAAACGGGGCACGGAATTCCGGTTATTTAATGACTTGACTTTATGAAAGCGCGTCACTAATTAGAGGCAGGGATCTCCTCAGAGCTGGGCTGCTTAAAATGAAAACTACAACGCTGGGTGGGGGGACTCCAGGGGCCGGGTGGCCGCAGCGCGGGGCCGCCCCGGCTCCCCCCCTTCCCTTCTTCCTCCTCCTCCTCCTCCGGGGTTACGCGGGGCGAGGAGCCCAGGGCCAGCGGGCACAGGGCACACCCGGCCCGCGGGGCTTCGCAGACGGGGAGGGACCCCAAAACCCGGCTGGTTTCTTTTTTTTTTTTTTTTTTTTTTGAGGTGGTTGTGCCTCTCCGGCAGAGGGGCGTTGCCATAGAAACGGGGGGAAACCCGGCGGGGGGAGGCACCCGCGGCGCCGTCGCTTTAAGATCGCAGAGGAGGGAGCAAATTACGCAGCTGCACGGCTCATCCCTCCCTCCCTTCATCCATCCTTCCCTCCCTCCCTCCCTTCGCCATCCCTCCCTCGGGCTGGGGGGAGGCGGGGGGCGCAGCCGGGTCTGCCAGCGCCGCTCCGCATCGGGGGGCGGGCGGGAGCGGGGGGGTGCCCGGGGCACAGGGCGCTCGGGCGGGTCACGCATCGGGCCCGCAGCACACCCGCATTGCGTGTGCCAGACCCCCGCGGCACACGCCAGACCCGTGCTGCTGCACCAGAGCCCACGGCACCCACTGCACCCATGAATGGCTTATCAGCCCCGTATCTTGTGTACCCTGACCCGCACTGCAAACCCGCCTGGACCCCCACCACACCCACCGGTCCTGCTTCACAGCCCTGGAGCCATGTGACATGCACCAGACCCAAACAGCAGCTTCAGGCACGCATTGCACTCGCCAGACCTGCACTGCACTCGCCAGACCCACATCTCATGCACCTGACCCACTTCATGTGCACCAGACCCTCCCTGCACACCCCAGACCCACGTTACACCCACCAGACCCTCCCTGCATGCCCCAGTCACCAGACCCACATCTCATTGCACCAGACCCTCGTCACACGCACCAGACCCTCCCTGCAAGCACCAGACCCTCACTGGACACCCCAGACCCACATCTCATGCACCAGACCCTCCCTGCACACCCCAAACCCTCCCTGCACGCCCCAAACCTACATCTCATTCACCAGACTCTCCCTTCAAGCACAAGCCCCACATCTGCTCATGCAGCATCCCAAAGTGTCTCCGGCACCATGGGGTATTTTTCAGGAGCTGGGGCTGCTCTGCGGTTGACATTTTATGATTTAATGGCTTCATGCTCCATCTCCAGAGGGACAGGAACACCCCAGCGGGTTGATGAGCCGGGTGCTCTGTTCTCTCCTCCCCACAAGGTCAGCGCTGTGGCTGTGGCACAGAACCCACTGCTGGCTGCCTGTTCTGCTTATAAAATCCCAGTGTTGCCACCCTCTCTGGGAACAGGCACGTCGTGCTGTGACCGTGTGCCAGACGATGCAAACGCCGGTGTCCGGGGGTCCCGGCTGGGGGTCAGAGGGGCAGTGCCCGCGCTCCCATCCCGCAGGAGCTGCAGCGGGCTGAGGCAGGAGATGGGGTGTGTGGTTAAAGTAGGCCATTCCAGCGGTGTGGAGAGCAGGGCGAATCCCCCGGCACCGCCGTCATTCCCAGCCCTCGCTCAAGGTGGATGGAGGCTGGGGGAGACCTGCTTGCGCCGCGCAGGGGAGGCGGAGCTGGTGCACTGGAAGCTGGGTTTGTCTTCCAGGTTTTTTTGCCTTTGTATCTCGAAGGAGTGGGCTGTTCCTTCTGCTTCACACAGCTCAGCTCGGCTCCTGCCAGAGCACCTCTGCAGGATGGGCTGTGCAGTGGGATGTCACCTCCATCCCATCCTGCTGACCTTCCTGGCCCCGGGTGAGACCACGGGGTCTGCATCCTGGGTGTCCCACTCCTGCTCTCATGCTGCTACAGCTCTTGTCATTCAGCTCTTTTCCCATTTCCCTTTGGCTCCAGAGTCCCCAGCGAGAGCCCACCCTTTACCCTCTGGTCAAGCACCTTATTTTTAGCTAATGAGGGCTGGGAATTGCCACCTCCCCATTTGGAGTTGCAGCCAGGTCAGCTGGAAAAGTGATGAGCTGCATAACCCGAGCTTTCCAAATGGTGTCTGTTTTCCTGTAATCTCTGGATGTCAACTCAGCGTTTTATAACAAACAGGAGAATAAAAGGAGGTGCTCCTGCCTTTTGGAATGGGATACAGCCACTCTTAGCAACATTGATTTTTCTGGTGGTGTTGCATAAACACCCCATGGGGTTTGTCTCTGCTTGTGCCCCGAGCACTCGGCTCTGCCCTGAGCTGGATTTAGCAGTGGCTTGGGTTAGCAGTTGGATTTGAAGGTATTAAAGGTATTTTCCTACCTAAATGGGTCTGTGATTCCATGATCTCCCTCTGCTTGGGACCCAGGTGAAGCTTTGGGGTGAACCCATCTACACTGGAGCAGAGGCTCCCAGCCTCTGGAGATATTGCCAGATCTTTGTAATCTTCTTGGACCAAAAGCAAAGCAATCCCTGTATCCCAAAAATCCCCCATGGCAGGAGGGGACATAGTCCTGGGTGTTTGTCCCCAGCTGCCCAGGTGGTGGTCCCAGTGCTGACCCCTCCTGCAGCAGGACTCCTGCCAGCCCTGGCTGCTGGATCCTGCTCTTTCCCACTGTGACCCAGCTGTATCCCAGTCCCTTTTCCAGTGCAAGCAGCCCTGGCCTTGCCACTGTCCAGGAACAAAGGCTCTGCCCCACATCAGCTCTGCTTGTTGGCCACATCCAGCACTTTGCTTATTTTTAGAGTGTAGAAAAGCAGAGCTGGTGTCAGGAAGGCAGGGTAGTTCCTTGGGAGCCCTTTTTGTCCCCTGGAAATACAAAGCTGTGGATTCCCTCTCCGTGTTCCCTCTGCTTTTAATCTTGCTCATGCTGGGAGGCTGCAGATCCCCCAGGGGACCCATGGGGACAGCACGGCTCCTCTCCAGGTCTCTGCAGTGGGTGAAGCTGCTCTCAGACGCTCGGGCTCAGTGCCACCATTGCAAAAGATTCCTCACACAGGATGTGCCAAGGGAAACACAGCAATCCAGCAGCAGGCAGGATGATGGGAGCCTCGACAAAGGAAGCAGTGAGCGAGAAATCCAGGGAAATGTGGCGGCTGCTGGCACAGCAGTGTTGTGCTGAGGGCTGACACTGGCAGTGAGCTGCAGGCTCTCACACCTTCTCTCATGTTCCCTGTGGGGATGGGGTGAGCTGGCAGCAGCTGGATCCCTCTGGATCCCACAGCAGCTGAGCTTTGGGAGCTGATGGGAGCAAACTCTTGAGCCTGCAGCCATGGAACCCTCAGAGGAACAAGCTGAGGAACCATCAGAGGCTTCACTGAGCCGGGGATGAGGGTCTCTCCAGAGGT